GCCTGCTCATTTGAATGTGAACGTCACGCACGTCACTATAAAAATAATCGATCTCATTCCCTACACATAGATTTTGCAAAAATGTAAAGAAATCGATCCATTAAATTAAATTAATCGAATACCGTATTTTCACGACTATAAGGCGCACTTAAACGTCTTTTTTTTTCCTCAAAATGTGCGGTGCGCCCTATGGTGCGGTGCGCCTTATGTGTGTTGTAACTGCGACTTTTGAGACCACCTCATTGAGGAGATGATGAAAGAGTGGCTGAATGTAAGGAGACCAGGTGTTTTTTTTTCCACTCATCACCATCGCTGTTAATATGTAACTCCATGCGTGCCCATCTCACAGCTGATGTGAAAAACATGGGGAAACAAATTAACGCTGCTCGACATCGGTGTGAACCGGACCCAGCAGGTGCAGCAGAAGCAGCGAGTTTACATGCAAAGTCAATGGTTGACGCGCATATAGGTGCAGCAAAAGGTCCCGCAGCGCATTTTGGTGCAGCGCGTCGGGAGCGTTTAAGCATCTTAAGCGCCGCGCTTCTGCTGCTCGAGATGGAAAAATTGAAGTTTTGCTGCTGGACGCGCCGCATCAACCAATCAGAGAAGCTGATCTGGGAGCTGCCAGCGAGACAGACAGCGCTCTGATGACATATGATATTAACGCAAATGGAAAAGGCTGGATGGATGCGTGGCTGAGGCAGGTGTATGTGAGAAGACTAGGTGGTTTTTTCCACGCATCACCATCGCTGCGTGCCCATCTCACAGCCGATGTGAAAAAAAGGTGAATCAAATGAACGCTGTGCTCGCCGTTATCCCGGGGGTCTGACAAAGGAGCTTCAACCGCTCGACATCGGTGTGAAGCGGCCGTTCAAAGTAAGGCTGCGAGCGGTGTGGGAGCGATGGATGACCGACGGAGACCACAGTTTCAGGATAAGAAGGCAGCGCCGGGCAGATTACGCCACAGTTTGCGGATGGATTGTAGATGCTTGGACTAAAGTGTCTGCTGGCTCTGTTGTTCAAGCTTTCGCAAAAGCCGGCATTATTTCTGAGGAGCCGCGCTGCACGGAAAGTGACTCTGACAGCGAAGAAGGGGAAACTGGCATGTCTGATTTAGCGCAGCTGTTTTATTCAGAAACAGAGGATGATGACTTTGATGGGTTTGATTAATACTTTGTAATAAATACATGAATAAAGCACAATCATACTCAGTTTTGCTCCCGCTGTATTTTTCTCCCTGAAAACTTAATTCAACAGCATCCCCGGCGCGTCTCCTCCTCTTCATCGCGGTGGCTGGCAGGTGTTTTTTCATCTAAATAATCTAAATCTTGCAGCTATATTTGCTGTGATCAGTGGGAATAAAGTAGTTTTAATATGTTTTTAAGTGAGAAAGTCCACCTGAAAACTTAATTGCAGTCAGTTCATCCAGATTATCTATTTCTGTCGGAGGCGCTCAGACCCCCACATACCAGCGGTGCGCCGACAGGAGAAATCCTTTCGTTCACCGCGGCTGCTTGCAGGTGTTTTTCATCTAAATAATCTAAATCTTGCAGCTATATTTGCTGTGATCAGTGGGAATAAAGTAGTTTTAATATGTTTTTAAGTGAGAAAGTCCACCTGAAAACTTAATAATTGCAGTCAGTTCATCCAGATTATCTATTTCTGTCGGAGGCGCTCAGACCCCCACATACCAGCGGTGCGCCGACAGCAGAAATCTCTTCATCAGCAGCCTCTAGGCTGGGCAGCCTGGGGTTCACCGCGGCTGCTGGCAGGTGTTTTTCATCTAAATAATTTTAGCTGCAGGCACCAGGATACCGGCAATAAAAGCGAACATATTCCGTCAGCAGGTTTCAGGATTTTAAGTTAATTTAGGAGTGATCACAGCGCTGTGTCATCTGCGATGTCTCTGTCTCACGGCCAGCTGCCAGGTTTGATTAATACTTTGTAATAAATACATGAATAAAGCACAGTCATACTCAGTTTTGCCCCCGCTGTATTTTTAAATACGCAGTAGAGGTATTTAAAGGTAGTAGAGGACTTGTACCTGTATATAAAAAACGCGCCCTATAGTCCGGTGCGCCTTATGTGTGTGTTAAATACAGAAATGGGACACATAACTGAGAGTGCGCCTTTTAGTCCGGTGCGCCTTATGGTCGTGAAAATACGGTAAATCGATTTTTTTACCCAGCCCTATCAACTTGTAGAATTTGGAGACTGGCTAAACTGTAAAGTGCATTGATTTGACTTTACTTTAAAAATATATATTCTATTCAACCTCAAAAAAAGTCAGTATGTGGAAGCTTTACACTTTACGTTTCTACATGAGTAACTTTAACTTGGGCCAGAGGAGCTGGCCCAAGTGGCTGGGGAGAGTGACGTCTGGGCCATCCTACTGAAGCTGCTACTACACGACCCGACCCCGGATTAGCAGAAGATGATGGATGGATACATGACAAAGGAAGTTATTGTCAAATAACTACCTAAACTGCCATGGTTTAGATAATCTAAATCACTTTGGTTTAGATAGATAAATTTGACAGAAAATATTTAAGTAAAAGGCAATTTATATTTCAGTCAATATCATTTAACTGTGATAAAAAGGCAAAAGAAGTAGGACCATATTCTTCTTTGATATAACTTTATATAGGTCTACACATTCATTAGCATAGAAAAGCTATTCCTTTGTAGTCTGAGGTCAAGAACATCAGGGGCATTTTGTACATGTTTTTATACCAAGTTATAGTGGTTTTAAAATCCTCCTTCAGTTACATATCAACATATTCAAATATCCATGAAGAAACTGCACATACATGTGAGTGCAAGCTCTCACGTGTCAGCCTCATTGAACTTGACGAAAGCAGTTACAGAGGTTTATGACACTGCAGGTATACAGTGCTAGGGACTGTTGGGACTAGTAAGTAAAAAGTGGAGGATGGGAGAACCCCTGCCAGTAAAGATAATCCCCAGATTTTCTCTCAGTGAAGAAAAGTTATGGCTCTCTGAATACGATGGAGCCCTTGGGGTAGCTCATCATGCTGTGGGTGTCTCTTAATGTCGTCATCCTCTGCAATTGCGCAAAAAAAAACATCACCGCTTTTTCTCAGATGAAGTTTCTTCATCAGCCTTAGACACAATATTATGGGAATGTATCTTCATATCTTCTCATTGGAATGAAAAATTATTACAAAATCCCTGCAGCATATGATCTTGATTTCCAGTTTGAGTGTAACAGACAAGCACTTCTGCATGGTAACTAATTTCAAATTAAACTGCCTGCTTCAATTAAATGCACCATCTTAACTTACAGCAGTCACAGCAAATGATCTCAAAGCTATGTCATCTTCATTCTTTTCAGTCAGTTTTTTCCTTGTTATGGCAAATTATGGAACCTCTGAATTGACCTAAAGGAAATATAATTACCAAACAGAGATCTAGATTTATTTCCCAACAACTCAACATTTATATTTAAAATGCTTTCTTAGGGGAGCTCGATCACATGTTGTAAATCAGGTTTACTGAAATTAGAAGAAGGTCTAGGAAACGTTTAACGCAGTTTGACTGCAGCAATTATTGCTTTACTATGTTTTTTGTTAATTTAACCAAAGCAGTACTAAGCAGGGACTTACAATAAAGGAATTTCTTTACTGGTTCGGTGAGAGAGCTTTCTTGACTTTCCACAGATAGTTCAGAATCATGTAATTAGATACTGTAAAAGTCTTTGCAGTGAATGTTTTCTAGACCCTTTGTCATATCCTGAATTACTGTCCTGATATCCCTCCAAAAATATATTCTACCATCTAAAACTATCTGAATTACACACAGTGTTTGAATCAGAGTGTGCTTAAACAAGGTTTTGATTATCACATAACAATTTGATTATATAGATGTATAAACATTAGAATACTATTTTAATTAACTGATCTGGAAAATACAGTAATAACTACAGACAGCCGTTGTCAGTCCACTACTTCAGTGTTTTGGCCCACATGCAAATCTGTTGGGGAATATGATAAAAAGGGAAAGAAAAGGGGATTTTTATCTTAAATTTATTCTGAACTTGTTTTACACAGAAGCCTGGGGGGGGGAAAGCCTCCCCATGAAGTGGTGTTTAGATATCACCACAGTTTTTTATATACAACAGGTACTTTTGGCAGTGGAAAAACAACTCATGCATTGTCAAGTAGGAAAAACTCAAGGTCTAACATCAGTTCTCACCCTTTTCATGGAAAATATAAATAGAGGAAGAGCTATGCCAACAGGTACAAGTTATATGCTGTCATCATCAACTTGATTAAATGCTTTAACAACAGGTGCAGCAGAAGCAAAGTGCTGATTAGCGGGGATATTGAAGATAAAAGAATACATCAGTTAGAATGAAAAACAGTTAACACTGTACAGGAATTAAAAATTAAATGAATAGCAAAAACAAGTAGAAAAACTAAGTTGGTAACAATAACTTTTGAATAAGTGAGTCTTTTTTTTAGATGGGTTTTAAAAAGACTGCTTATTACCTCAGTTTGTAAGATAAACATAACCTGCCTGCTAATATTATTTTGCTCAACTGCTCATTAAATTATTTTCCGTTTATTTATATGGTACCAATTACAACACATATCATCTCAAGGCACATTACAAAGACCATCCAATGGAGAAAATTTAATGATGGCTTTAATTGTGCGGTTGTTTGACTATAATTTGCTTTTTGGTTTTATCTCGCTTTAATAATTGCACTTAAATTAGTTACAATAACCTCTGTCAAGCTTCTGTGCCTTAATATAATTTCTTTTTACTACTTACTTTTGGATAAATATTTGTTGGGTAAAAACAAGACAACATACTTGTGTGGCTTAGATGCACAGTAGTAAAAAGACAATGTTACAACTAGAGGGAGACAAAAAAGGATCTTATTTGGACCTGGAGGTAATGATGCTTGACACCAAAATAAAATAAAATAAATCAAAGACTCTAAATCCTCTGACTTTACTGTGCTTGTGTGTCAGTTCAGAATTCCTGTGGGAGAAGCCTACTACTTGGCGTCTCAGGAAAAAAATATATAAACTTGGATTTCAACATGAGTGGGAGGTAAGTAGGAGTAGACCTCATTCATGATGCTGTATAACCATACATAACCATACCTATAATCGTATGTGGATCCATCACAAATTGATAGACATAAAAGAAGAGATTGAGAACAAAAATAAAAAAAAGGAGGTGAAAATCTAAAATAAAATAAAAAAACTTGGTCACAATGAATCACTTTCAGACGGAAAGTTAAACCAAGGATCTGGAGACTTACAATCTTTAATGTACTTTTATATATGAAACATTTAATCTACAATATATGAAAGTACTTTTATTTATTAAAATATATTGATTTACATTTGTTTATTTACATTTATTATATTTATTGAAAAAATAAACAGCTTTAACTTACTTCATGGGTAAAATTCATAGGTCATATTCTATTAGCTACATCACTAGTACTTAATGTTGATTGGAGTTTCTTTCACTCCAAAGATTAAAATCCGCAAAGCTATGCATGTTACTGGTCCAGTGGTTTGTCCTTTGTAAAATCTTTATTCTTCAGAGGTGCACAGACTGCTGGCATTTTTTAGCTCTGATCATACTATGTACTCTAAGTCCTGGGTTCTTAACCATGGTCCTCAGGGCCAATGTCCTTCATGCTTTAGATGTGTCCACTCAAGCACACCTGATTCAAATGATTGCATTCCGCCCTCTACAGCCCTCAAATGCGGCAAAAGCTTCTTAATTACCTTTTCATTCAGGTCAGGTGGGTGGAGGCAGCAAACACCAAAAACATGTAGGACAGTGGGCCCTGAGGACCAGGGTTAAGAAACCCTCCTCTAACTAACAAGGAAAAAAAGGCAGTCAATACACTTGAACTACATAAAAGCATAGTGCAGATGCTCTGTATGTGGACGTTTTGGCATTAAGTATTTTTCATTGCTCTCCTTTGATACAATGTTCTTAATCCCAATACACCGCCTACTTTAAACCAATGGGTCATCCTCACTAGTACTACCCCTCACCCACTACCCTAACCCCCTGGAATTGAAGCCCCAATAGTTTGAGTTTTGTAATCTTCCCCAGGAATTGAAACACCCCTTACTGCATAGTTGGCGTTCTGGTACATAAACGACTGCGTATTTACATATGCACATACATAAGATTAGTGCCACCATAGGAGAAGCACAGGCGGGGAGAGGGAACAGCAGGCTTCTCTGATCTACTGTTGTTCTTCCCTACCTGTATCCCCCTGAGCTAGTAGCAGCAAACCACTTCCCTCTATCCCTGCTATGGTGGGCTGAATACCTGGTGGGTTCCTCTGATTTCTCCCTGTGGTTCCTTAGCTCCAGAGAGGGGAACGGGTGGCAGCCTCTTTCCGTTCTGGTTCTCTCTCTGCCACTGTTCTTGTATTGATTTCCTGCTGCTCCTGTTTGAGCTCCAAAACACATTCTCATTTAACCTCTGTTGTCCGGGAGACTCAAATGAATCCTGAACACTGACACCAACAGCTTTGTTCTGGAGAAATGATATATGAAAAATTTGCTATCTAAAATCCCTGCCCCCTATGTTTTATGTAAAATGGTCTCTCGCCCTTCCACGGCAAGCCAACATGCAAAATTTCCACGTTTTAATGGATAGGGTTAAACCCCCCTCCTCTTGTTTTGCCCACTACTCCTACGTGCAATGATACCACTACCTTCACAGGAATGCGGGAAATTTAGGGGTAGGGCTAATAAATAGTGCTTAGGGGTGTATTCGGATTGGGTTTTATTGTGTATGTTAAAGCATTTTGTATCCGTATATAATCTGATGTATCACCTGTTAGCCCTATTCAATTCACTTTGTATACTCAATGCATATACTGTTGATTTTCATTTTCCTATTCTTAGTCTCCTTTCTCAGACTTTTTTTTCTTCAACTCATTTCTTAGCTTCTATTTCCTATGATTATACCATTTTCTCATTATTAATATTCTCTTATCCTACTTAAACTTCAGTTCTAGAAGTCACCAGTAAGAATGGAAAAAACATTTTCATGCATTTTCAAAGTTATTGCTTAATGTTTCTTTATTTTACCACTCTTGCCCAAAGTAATTAACATGCTGGGAAGTCCTTGAACTTCTGCCTTGCCATTTGCTTTTCCTTACTTGTTGCCATGGTGCTCCAGGCTATCAGCACACGTTGTGAGACACAGACCACTATGTTGTGCTTTACAGCGAAGGAGTCAACTTTTTTGTTGCAAACAGTGCCTTTCAAAAGTATTCGGCCTCCATTAACTTTTTGAGATTTTTTTTCCACATTTCAGATGACAAAAATTAAGATATACATTTTATTTTTTTTTGTGAAGAATCAACAAGAATTGGGACACAACAATCAAGTGAAAAGAAATGTACTGGCTATTTCAAACTTTACAAATACACAGAAATCGGTGTGTGCAAAATTATTTAGCCCCCTTGGTACTTTGTAGTGCCACCTTTTGCTGTGATTAAAGCTACAGGTTGCTTGGGATATGTCTATCAGCTTTGCACATCGAGAGACTGACATTTTTGCCCATTCTTCCTGCAAGACAGCTGAAGTGATGTTAGATGGAGAGTTTGTGAACAGAAGTTTTCAGTTCTTTCCACAGATTCTCGATTGGATTAAGGTCTGGACTTTGACTTGGCTATTCAAACACCTGGATGTATTCATTTGTGAACTATTCCAAAGTTGTCGGGTTGACCTTTCACAGACTTACGAGGACAAGGCTGATCTAAGGTCAGAGATCCAAAAACTCACCATGACAGGTCCATGGGCTTCATACAGGCTTAAAGAATCAGAAGGTAGAATCGGGAAAGAATCAGGCAAGCAGATATGAGTAACGCTGGATATTTACTGGCCAAACACTTTCAAAAATCTAACGGGAGTTATAATAGTTATAATAGTATATAATAATTAAAAAGCTCTAATAATGTAATAGTTAGCAAGTAGCTTACAGTGGGGACTGGTTGGAAATGGACGGTTTCCTGCGTGATTCCTGTGTGATTCCCACGTGAATCACGTTGTATTTCCTGAGGCCAGTTTTTTTATTTCAAAAAGAACTGCAATGTACCCGGACAACCACCAGGTGGCGCTTGAGACCTCTGCCGTGCTGAGGGTGACGTTTGTGGGCCTGCAGTAAACTGAAAAGCAGGTTTATTGGGGATCTTGGTGTGATACTGTGCTATTTTATTTTGTTTTTGATTAAAATAAAGTTAATGAATTAATTTAACATAAGATTATGCAGTCAAGTGACTGCATAATCTTATTTTATGAAAATGGTTGCGTAGTTATAGATACACCTCCGATCTTATCTGAGAACTGTTATTTCTATTTAGTGAAAGTGAAAGCCCTTTGGGAAACTCCTCCAACTCCCATTGTCATTGTGACACAGCACACACAAGTGAACACTGCACACCATGAAATTGCATTTATGCCTCACCCGTGCAAGGGGGCAGCCCTCAATGGCGCCCCAAGGGAGCAGTGTGGCGGGACGGTACCATGCTCAGGGTACCTCAGTCATGGAGGAGGATGGGGGAGAGCGCTGGTTAATTACTCCCCCCACCAACCTGGCGGGTCAGGAGTCGAACCGGTAACCTTTGGGATCCAATTCTGACACCCTAACCGCTCACCCACGACTGCCCAATTTATCTGCATCGCTATTATTTAATGAAAAATAAAATTAATTAAGTTGGAGCCGGGGATACGGACTGTAGCGCAACCAGAGAAAGGCGACAGAGACAGTGCTGCGGCTGGTGATGTTGAAATTAAAATCATATCCAAAGTTGATTCCTCATTAAGATAAGCCAAAGTTATTCAAAAGGGTATGTAAGAAAATATATTTTCTTTAGTTTTGTAAAATATAAGTGCCGTTGAAAGCTTTGTTTTTGTGTGTTACTTTCTTGCCGTGCAATACGTGACACCCCTCCCAGTCTGGTCAAGTAGCAGACTGGGAGGTATGTCACATGTTGCGAACTTATAGCGCTGTGGTTAAGCTGAGTGGTGTGTAGACTAACAGCTTGTGGGTTCAATCCCAACTGTGGCCGAGTTGCCTTAAATGTTTTTTTTTTTTTTTTTTTTTTTATAAAGCATCTTAATGCACCTTTTTCCTCCCTGTTTGCACCTCCAGTAACTTCTATGCCAATATGTGACGAGTGAATTTCTCCGCTGTGAGATCAATAAAGCTCATCTAATCACATCTACTCCAATCTAAATAAATAAATAAATATACACATGTTCAATAAATAAATGTTAGGTTTAAACACCAAACACCTTATTCAGCAACCTGCACAAAGAATGACACAGAGAATTTAGTATATTTTACTTGCAAGGAGAGGGGATCAGAAACTGCATTCAGTTACAACTTCAAACCCACTCTGAAGCAGTATCTGCTCTCCAAGCCCTTTATTGAAGAAACGCCCTGATTACAATGTGGTTTCAACCGCTAAAGGGAGAGGGAACAGAACCCAGTTGAAACCAGAATTTTCGTACAACATCATACAACATCAGAGGATAAGGAGAACCCCTCTCCTTATCTAGTTGCACAGTTCTCCATTCTCCTCCACACCCTTAACGACATCTGTTAACAGCAGTCGCAGTCAACATCCCTCCTGCACAGACTTAAAAAACATTAATGACACAGCAAACAAAACTAAATGTTTTAACACTCTTTGTAATATGAGTAAGATAGAGATAACAAAATGTGTAAGTATAATATGATTAAAGTAGAATAACTTATGTTCAATTAATTAACCCAACAATAAATAAGCATTCAATTAATTACCCCCAATAAATGGTGAAATGATATGTTCTCATAATAAATCATTTATTTAAAAAATGCTGTTATGTTCCTTTTTTTTTAAAATACCTTTTAAAATGCTTAACTATTTTTATTCTTTTATTTTCTTTCAAAAAATCACTAGATTTTAAAAACACTCATAGGTTTTGAAAGGTATTATATATATATAGAAACTAAAACGCTCGGATCTTTCTGTCATTTTGTGTACGTGTGAAGCATCTGCAATGTTTTCGTTAAATATTC